GGAGTCTTCTGTGTGCTCACAGCGGCTGGTGAGGTTATTTGTTGTCCGGGGACTCCAGGTAACTCTGTGGGCTTCTATCTCCTGGCTGTGTCTCTGCATGGATGAAAGGCATTGGCGTGTTTGAACTGGTGTGTGGTGGGGAAGGGGATGGTGTTCCTACAGTCCTCATAAGAAACTGGTCACATCCTCCACACTTTCTGACCACACCCCTGCCCTTTGACGTGCTGGTTTCAAGCTGGACATTTTTGTTTTTCTCACTCTCTGTTACCGATGACTTAGCTCCCAAGGCTCCAGCAAACACTCCTGGTATCACAGAGATTTGCAGGCTGGCTCAGCGGCCAGTGCTCCATTATGGTATTTTATACGCCCTTCAGTCAAGCTCTAGCCTCTTCAGCGGGGCATTGCCATGGCAACCTCCCTTCTTTGGCCAGTTAATATGGGTGGCAAGTCTTACATGCTTAGTATGTTTGATATTTTACTTTCAAAATACTTTTTAGGGCAAGTTCAAATTGGCCGCCGAACAAAATAAATACTTTTTTTTTTGGTGAGTGGGGTATGGTCGACAAGGGCCAAAGGCGGCAGCTTTGATAACTGGAAAGGCCGGGACTGGTCAACAACCCGACACCGGAGTGAGCCAGTCACTTCTAGCTGCTTCTAGCGGCACTCGACACAAGAAAGGAATGGAAAAGCACTCAGTGCAAAGGGACACGGACTCAGACCCTGATTCTGTTAGAGAAGCCTCGAAGTCCAGGGCTTGAGGGGCTAAAGTGGGCCTGTTCCAAAGCCAGCCTCAGGGACACCTGAGTTTTGGCTGCCTACCCACACGGTAGGAGGACGTGGCTATTTCTTCTACACACAGTGCATTTTTGGGGTGGGGTGGGGTAGTTCTGGGGCTTTCCCCGCCCTTATGGGTGACATCTCACCACAGTTCTTTGGACCGGAAGCCCTTAGGTGTGCACACATACCACAGAGCACGCTATGAACTTTATAGAGGCTGGCTATGTTGGCTTAGGAGAGGCAAGCTGACTTAAGGTCCTTGTCCTTTTCCACTGCATTGTGCAACTGTGTGCCATTACAATAGATACGCCCTTATTTAGCAGTTATTATTATTTTTTTAATCAGAGAATTAAAATTGAAATTTTGCAGTGAATTGCTAAAGCTTAAGTATGCTCCTTGGCTTCATATTTCTTTTTTCCTCCCTTGTTTAGTTTATTTATTTTCCCCTCTGCTCTTTTCTCCCTTCCTTTCTTTTTATGTGTATTTTTACATGTATGTTTCCCATTTGATAGTATTCCTCTTGTGTAGCTGGGAGGCAGTGTGGTATGGTGTGGCAGAATGCATACCTTCCTATTAATTGGCTGGCCAGTCTTGGTAATGCTACCTTAGTTTTCTCATTGATTTTCTAGAACACAGGATTTCAGTGCTGAGCCCAGCACAGCCCAGGGCATGATGGGGCAGTTGTTTTAGTGAAATAATTGAACTTTTCGAACTTTGGTTTCTTTAACTGTGAAACAAAGACGACAGTTCCTCATGGGGGTGAAGGCAGGGTGTAATGATTTCACTAGACCCAAGATAAATGATAAATGGGTGTTTATTATGGAACACTTACACAGATAATAGCAAAGAGCCCAGGGAGTGTTTCTCTGCCCTTCTGATTGGATCTGCTGACCCAAGAGAAAGAGACTGTGCAAGCTACAGACCACACCTCACGCTTTCCCTCTTTCCACTTCCATCCGCCTGAAGCCACACCCAAAGGGGTGTGGCCATTTTATAGGTTCAAGGGCAAGACACTGCTACATGGGGCTAAGGTAAGGGTTGGGGTTAGGGCTAGGCTTAGGGTTACTGTTAGAGCTAGGTTTAGGGCTAGGGCTAGATTTAGGTTTAGGGCTAAGATTAGGACTAGCAGTAGTGTTAGGGCTAGACTTGGGTTATGGTTATGGTTAGGGATATGGTTAAGGATAGTTCTAAGGCTAGGGTTAGGATTAGGGTTAAGTTTAATGTTATCATTGGAAGTAGGGGTAGTATTATTGTAAGGTTTAGGGATTGTTAGGGTCAGGGTTAAAGTCAGACATAGGTTTAACTATAGGTTTGATCTGCAACTAAGTAGAGCAGACTGGTCTTGAACTCTCAAAGATCTGCCTTCCTTTGCCTTCAGAGTATTGGGATTAAAGGCATCCCCCACCTCACCTGGTTAAAACTCAGAGTCAATCAATATATTTCCAGGGAATTTTTCCATGGACTCTTTAATAATCCACATTGGAAAAAAAAACCTTAAGTATATTTAAAATTTTATTTTTGCTCGTATGTATGTGTGACGTGTATATATTTGTGTTTGCCTGTGTGTGGGGTACATGTGTGTGGAGTATGTGTGTGTGTGTGCAGGTAATGTGGAGGTTCAGAATTACCTCAGATGTCTTCCTTGATTGCTTCCCATTGCATTAACTGGGGCAGTGCCTCTTGCAGAACCTGGAGCTTACTGATTTCATTTTGTCCAGGTAGCCTGCTTGTCTGGTGTGTGTGTGTGTGTGTGTGTGTGTGTGTGTGTGTGTGTGTGTGTCACTCTACTTCTGCCTTCCGGGTGCTGGGATTAGAGATCGGCCATCACATTGCCTGGCTCTTGTCGTGGTTCTGAGTTTCCAAACTCAGGTTTGCATAGCACCCACACTGGTACAGCCAGTGCTTTATCTGTTGAGCCTTCTTACTAATTTTTATAGCTGTATCATAACTTATGTATGTATAAAACTATTTTAATTCTTAGACTTTTAGGTTGACCTAGTTATATCATCTTAAACAATTATTTGGTAATAAGTTCACCATTTTTTTCCTTAGGGGATTTTACTTTTTTGGATTGGGTCTTGCTGTCTTATGATGATATCCAGGCTGGTATCAAATTTACAAGCTTCCCATTCCTGCCTCTTGAATGTTAGGATTATAGGCGTGTACCACACACCTGGCTGAAATGTTATCTCCAATTCTTGATTGCTTACATGCTCATTTCACATTTGCTTGGGACATTATGAATAGAATACCCTGTTCCTTTTAAACTCTGGATTGAGAGGTGTTGAAAATCAGCCTGACTGAAAACTGGGAGGGATGCAGTGGTTCAAAAGCATTCCCGAGGCATGTGTGCATGCAAATGCTTAAGAATAGAAAAATCAAAGGAATGGCGGTCCTTGAAGACCCTGAAATCCTGCTGTGTGCATGTGTGAGTGTGTGAGCATGGGTGGGTGATTCCTCACGACTGTCTAGAGGCTCTGGGGCTCTCAGACTGGTCACAGCCTGGTAATTTTCCAAGAGGTGAGCAGAGAAAGAAAATGTAAAAACAAGTTACAAATAATTGGTCCTACAAACACTAAGTGATATACCTCAGAACCATCTCTCTCCTGCTTCCCCTTCCTTCCCCTCTGTCCCCTTCCTTTACTCCTCCCTTTCCTCCCTTCCCTTCCTTTCTGTTTTCTTTTTGGTGCTGGGGACAGAACCCAGGGCCTCACACATGCTCAGTGTGCTCTCCACCACTGGGTTACACTCAGCCTTCAGGATCATCTTTAACTACTTTTGTAATTTCACATACTTAACATTGAATGTAAAGTTTAAAAATTTGAATTGTTTTATTTTCAACATTTGTCACGTTTCTTTGAGAACTGAGGGAAAATCTCTCAGGTCCTCTTTTCTCTATCATCTGCTGTTTGGTAATTAGAGAGGCACAGAAGTTAGAACTCTGAAATTTTCCTTGTAATTCAAGTCCAATCTAAGGAGAAAGAAATGAAGCAACCACACCCGTGCCCAGGCCATTGGCCCTGGTGAGAATTAGTGAGTCAAAAGACAACAAGAATATAAAAAGGTATGCACGTAGGGTGGGGACCTGGTGGGAAGGGGGGTCAGGGAAAGTGGGAGGAGAGTAAGGGAGGGTAGACGATGAGTGTGACCAGAATGTATTACATATGTGTATGCAATTGTTGAAGAATATGTTAATTATAAACATACATGTAAAGCAATGACTGAAACAGCATCCTCAAGACATAGTCTTCATGGCACATCACAAGTCTGCATCTTGGCCGGGCATCCTGGACTTGGCCAAACTAGGTGCTAATGGTCCAGCTAAGGAAGTGGTTTGGGGATGGGGAATAATTCATGGTCCAATGGATTTTGTCAGGATTTCTTCTCCTGTGCCTGTGGGCAAAGGCTTTCTGCCTGAAATATGATCAGCACTTCCTCCCACCACCTTGGACAAACATCTCAGGAAACAAAGCTACAAAAAAGAGGGGAGTTGATTGAGATGTGGGACAAAGTAAGATAGACCCTTGCTCATGTCTCTCAGTGCAACTATGCCTGAGCCAGCCTTGGCTTCAGCTAGCCCAGTTATAAAAGCTAATACTCTGTCTTAAAGCTATATAAATGTGCACCAGTCCCTCACACAGGCCCTGTACTTCATTATTACTGAGTCTTTAGTATCCACATTTTATAGATAAGGGAACTGAGACACAGGAAGGTGAGATGCTTTGCTAAGTCTAATAGTTGAGAAGTGGCATGATCCATGGTGGAGAGTGAACTGTTTTGACTTGCAGCTCATTCCATTTCTATCTCCGGAAACAGATTCTGTGACTACATCTTATCATGCTTCCTTCCATACCAGCCCTAGGTCAAACAGGCAGGCACTGGCTTTCTTGTTTCACAGGGCTATGGACAAGGGAACAATGTTAGACACTTTAGTTTGGTGCATCTATGGGCAGACAGGCTAACCTGGTTACTTAGACCCTGTGCCTCACTCCTGATTGTTCCAAGAACCTCGAGTCATTAAGGCTTCTGAACTCTCAGGAGCCATTAGCCAGGCTAGCCCCGGACCTCACTGGCTTCCAGGCATCCAGGCTTTTCTGTTCTGGCAGACACAGATTCTGCAAAAGCAGAAGTAATTCTGTAAAGATGCATTCAACTTTGAAATACTGAAACTTCTTATAGCCACAACTCAAAGCTTAGAAAAAAAGAGAGCGGAATTATTCAAATTGAAGTTGACAGTATTTTTAATATTTAAGTAACAAAACATGGAGGTTAATACTCAAAGAATACAATAAGACAGAGCCATAACAAAGAGATGACAAAGCAGTCTGTAGGGAAGCTTTTAAACAATCATGAGTTAAGCTGTGTGGTGGTGGCACACGCCTTTAATCTCTGCACTACAGAGGCAGAGGCAATCGGATCTCTGAGTTCGAGGCCAGCCTGGTCTACAGAGTGAGTTCCAGGACAGCCAGTACTACACAGAGAAACGCTGTCTCAAAAACCAAAGGGGAAAAAAACCCAAAAAAATCAAAAACCAACCCCCCCCAAAAAAATATCATCCCCAAAACAAAACAACCAATGATGTGTTAGAGAAATACTAACTGAAAACACAGCTGGGCCTCACTGCGTCCAGTCTTACCAGGGACTTTCTGGTGGGTGGGTAGGTGGGGATTCAGGGAAGCTCACTGTATCTGTGTTCTCAAAGGGATGACCTTCCATTCGGATCCCAAGACCCTTAAAAACCTTCACTCCGTCAATTGCTCATTTCCACCTCCTTCTTTCCCTCTTCTCTTGAATTGTTTGATCTGTTCATTTTTTTCCTTTATGCCTCCTCAGACAATTGAGTTTCAGGAGGGCCCTCTTCAATATAGCTTAAAACCACTGGTGTCCCTGTGGGAAGGACTGTGGCTAGCCTGGAGCCAGCCCTGAGTATTAACCGACCCACTGGAGGCCATTTTCATATGCACTATTGATTTGAGGACTGTGCTTTCCTCCATAACAATGCCATGGCCAGGCTCTTACAGCACCTACTGCTGTCCTGGGCCTGGGTGAGTTTTCATGAGCATCCTTATCCCCATTTTGTGGGAGCCTATTCCTGCTGCACACTGGGATAGAGTTCATGCTTTCTCTTCTAAAGGGCAGTCCTACCAGCACAGAACATATTAATGCCTGGGGCAGCTGTCAGAACCACAAAACTGACCGAAGGGCCTAGGCAGTGTCACAGTTAACTGGTGGTCTGGTAGTGTGGTGACTGTAGCTAGGCCAGTGAAGATGCACAGGCTCACTATTATTTTTTGTAAAAAAAAGTTTTAGAATTTGGAATTTGATTTTTTTTAGTTTTTATTTTTTTTAATTAAAGCACCTATGAGTACTCAGGTTGTCGAGACCTCAAAAGAAAACAGAATCAACAAGCTTATCATGAAGTTTGGATTTATGTAGACCCTTAAAGAGTACAATAGAGACAAAGTCAAGGAATAACTACCTGTCCCTAGATATTCCCATATGTAAGGGCAAGGCTAATTCACAGAGATATTATATAGCATTTTGCTACTGTACTATTTATTGTAACTGTACATAGAACTTAGGTTATCAAAAAAAATCCACTTCTTTCTAAGGAAAATTTCTGACAAAAGGAGTACCTCAGGTAGAAAGCTCTGGAATGGTCTTGTTGAAATTAGCAGATGGCAAGAGAAGCAGACTGGTTTGCCTCCCCTGGAAACCACTGGGGTAATAATGTTTGAGACATCATGTGAGCCACTCAGATGGAAGGTTGGGGATATCACAACTATCTCTCCTCTATCTTTTTTTTTCTTTAATCAGTGTTCATTACTTTTATTAGTCAGGTTGTGGGGGTGGGTAAAGCAAAATTAGTAGGAAATAATGCCTTTTAATCTATTTTTTCCCTTTTAAAATTTTCCTTGGGGGTCAAGCTGGGAAATAGATCATCAACAGGTTTATTAAATATGAGGAGAGAAAGTTTGTCTAAGTCATCAGAGTATCAGTCAATGAGTCAAGTTGCATTCTATTACCAGATTTAGAAGTCTATAGTAAAAGGTAGAGGATTGGGATCTGTGAGTATTAAGGCCTCTAACTGATAAATGATAACTCAGTTGTTTTGTGATGGAATATTTAGAGTTAGAGACAGAGACACGTGGCCAAGACTGCCTAGCCTCCCCATGGATGAAATTTAAGGCTTTACCAACTTCCAACTGTCAATTAAAATCAATAGTGGAACAAGGTAGACGGTTCTTGTTTTGGGATGAGCTCTTCTTGGGGAAGGGTTTCCTCTGCACACGTTGAGGTGCATCTTAGAGCATTACACATAGTCAAACTTGGTAGGATGAGATTGTTCATCATCCTCTATGCGGGCGCCTCCATCATATATCTTCTTGTTTCTGACATTGGATCCAAAGCCAGTGCTGGCCTTGAAGCCTCCAGGCTTGTAGCCAACATTGTGGCCAGAGGCATGGTAAGCCACGGCTTTGAAGCTGAAAGCAAAAGAAACAACTCATGAACACCTGTGCCTTTAGTAGGAAGGCCAACTTCTTCATTTACTCTTGATTGTCTCAGCTTCAGCACCTAAGAATTCAGTGTTCACGGAGATATGAGAGCCTTGGTCAGACCACGATACTTCGTCACCATGTTCTTAGAGACCTAAGCTGTCTATGGCAGAGCAAAAGGTTTTCTTTTTACACCACGTCTTCAAAGAGGAAAGGACACTTGGAGAGGGGAAGGCGACATTGAAAGGAAGAGAAGAAGGGTGCTAGAGAGGGTGATGGAATAAGTGTGACATGAAAGCCAAAGTGGGGGCTATTGGAGGGGAAGAGGGGACCAGCAAGGAGGAAGGGGAGATGGGGGGATGGGACAAGGAAGGAAAAATTGGACACATATATGGAAATGTCATGACAAAACCTATTATGTTTTGCTTGTTCTTGTTTTCTTTCTTTTCCCTTTTCCTTTCTTTCTTCCTTCCTTCCTTCCTTCCTTCCTTCCTTCCTTCCTTCCTTCTTCCCTTCCTATTTTTTTTTTTTGAGGCAGTACCTCATGTAGCTCAACTTGGGCCTCTCTCTAACTTGCTGTGTAGCTGAGGATGACCTTGAACTTCTGAGTCTTACTGCCTCCACCTCCTTAGTGCTGGTATTACAAGTGTTTACCTCCTTGGCTTTTGTTTGGTTTTGGTTCTAACCTAAAAAAAATTAATAAAAAATAATTCTGTCTGCCTAATGGGTGTGCATATTAGAGCTGTAATGAGAATGACTACTGAGTTCTTTCCTTTAATTAAAATGAAGGTGACAGTGTACAGACTTTGTTTTGATGAAGGATCACAGAATCTGTTGGCTGGAAAGTACCTATGTGTAACTTCTAATTAGCTTGTTTTATGGGCAAAGTATCGGAGGCTACTGTGGTGTGAATATGTGCCCCCAAAATTCACAGGAAACTTTAATCCCCAGTGTGATGGTGTTAAGAGATGGGTCTTTGGGGCAGTGGTGGCATGCAAACCTTTAATCTCAGTACTCAGGAGGCAGAGGCAGGGAGATCTCTGAGTCCTAGTCCAGTTTGGTCTACAGAGCAAGTTCCAGGACAGCCAGGGCTACACAGAGGAACCCTGTATTGAAAAACCAAAACAAACCAAAACAAACAAAAAAGGGATAGGCCTTTGGAGACACAATCAAGCCATGAGGCTAGTCAAAGGGATTGTTTCTTTGCCCTCCTATTCCTTCGTCCATGTGAGCAAACTTCCTCTCCTGCAGAGAATGTAGGACATCTAGGCAGTAGAGACTGGGTTTTCACCAGGCACTGATCCCAATGCCTTCATCTTGGACTTCTAGTTCTAGATCTGTGATAAATACATTTTTATTGTTCATAAATTAGCTATCATAGGGTGTTGTGCTATAACAGTCCTAACATTCTGTCAGAGGCCGGGAGAGCAAAAAATGACTTGCCGTACTTACAGGGCCTGTGAGTGGTACTTTGGAGCAAGTACTTTATGCTGAGGGATGCTCTTGTGCACTGCTGGATGTCCAACCTGGGAATATACCCACTAGAAACCAGATTCTTTCCCCCCTACCATTTTCAAAGCAATCAAATGCTTTCAGGTGTTGCCAAATATCTCTGCAGTTGGTAGAGATGCAAAATAATCTCTTCCAGGAAAGGATTACAGAGTTAGGAAGAACTGGGACTAGAAGGAACTTAGAGGGGTTGCTCTACCCACCCCCAGTCTCAAAGAGTATCCATCTTGGACACTCAGTGGAGTCTTGCTCTATTCTTCCGATTCTCCATAAAAGACGAAGGTCAATGAACCCATACTCAATTATCACTCTCCCACATATGTGGATCAGTTATTCTGGCTATAAAGTACACATCAAGTGGAATTCTAGCTACCGTGTGTGTGAGGACTTACTTGCTCTCATCAGGTGTCAGGCCACGGCAGGCGATGCACATCATCACACCCCCAATTAGTGTGAGGCCTCCAGCGACCCACCCCACGAATAGAGCTGCACCGAAGGTGTACCTGAAGAGGGAGATGTGGTGAGTACAACTGACTAAACTCTCCAGGTTCTTCCCATTGCTTCCAGCCACCTCATCCTCCTTCGGCCCTGCCTTCCTCTCTCTCTTGATCAAAAGAGTGAGCCTTCAAGGCTTGGCAAGAGAATTAACATTGATGGAGCCAGCCTCAAGTTGTTTCTGAGGAAGTTTTGGTATTTCGAGTTTCCATGTGAACCTTATCTTAGGTGGCATTGTATAGGGACTCTTCTCTAAGGGCCCAGGCATTAAAAGCTTGCTATCCAAGGTAGTTCTATTGGGAGATGGTGACTTTTAGGAGTTTCAACCTTTAGATAATTGTTCTTATAACAAGAGACTATGAGAGAGACCTGGAATAGAATAATGGCAGCTTATGTGATCATGTTCCTCCTTAGTCTTGAAACAAAGCAGAAACAGGAATGGGCCCTGGAGTCCCAGAGTCATATCATGATTGCCTGTACCATCTTGATACCCTGAGTGTACCACTTGTTGGGTGGCTGGAAAATACCTTCTATGTAGAGGGATTTATAGCACTCTCTGGAAACAAGACCTTCCTCCTTTGGGGTCCTGCTGATGCTCAGTGTTGAACCACATTGATCTGATACTTGGGCTAAACAAATATAGATGTTGATATTGCTTTTCCATTAAACATTTTTCCTCCCCGGGGCTGGAGAAATGGCTCGGTGGTTAAGAGCACTGGCTGCTCTTCTAGAGGACCCAGGTTCGATTCCCAGCACCCACATGGCAGCACAGAACAGTCTGCAACTCCAGTCCCAGGGGATATGACACCCTCTTTCGGCCTCCTCACTATTGGCACATATTGGTATAGACAAACAAGCAGGCACTCACTCATACACATAGAAAAAAAAATACAACATCTCAAAAGTAAAAAAAGTATCCTTTTCCCTTCAGGTTAACAAATCATAGTGAGGTTTTGTTTACATCTCCTGTACCTCCATTGGAGTGGGGAGCTTGGCTGTATCTCTTGCACTCTGGTCTCTGCCTGGGCCACAGCAGGTATTCAATACATTTGCTAAATGAATGAATGAGTAGAGGCAACAGTACCAGGAGGAAATAGCCCTTTCCATACCCACACAGGGTACTCTATTGGAGTTTTTCCCTGCTCCTGTCAAGCTTCCATTATGGACTGTGGGTCTAAGTTGATGCTCATTTACATCTTGGGTTAACCAGGCCTATCATTTTGCCACCACAATGGGGCCTGTGTAAGAATGCTAGATAAATACTGTGAACTGTCACTGTATTTCAGTACAAATGCCAGATCAGCCTCAAATCATATCAGCAAGGGTATTTCATGAAAATGAAGTTTATGAATTTGCAGATCATGGTTGAGTTATGATATGGCGTGGTTGCCTCTGATAAATGCTTACTATTTCAGGCTCTGACATTCACATTAGGCATATGGTTTAATCGTCCTCTTATAATGTTCTCAGTAGGTCACCAGGAAGCCAACTAGGAGGTTACCTTGTCTGAACAGTCTGCACCATTCCACCCATGCCACTGTACATGTTAGCTGTGGACATCCAGAAATTGGTAACCAGCATGTTGGCAAACACGGACACACCAATAATTGCACAGATTCCTGTGGGAAAAGAACAAGAACAAGGAGCAGGTTAAGGGACTACAATGTTTCTGAGGCAGTTTATGCTGAAATGAGGCCAGTTGAAAAGACTATAGGATATTCCATTTCTGTAATAGAATGATTAACCACTGACTGTTGAATTCCCACCATGTGCTAGACAGTAGGCAAGGTGTTCATCTCATACTTAATTCTGGAAGAATTCATATGTGTGTGCACAGAAAGAGACCTTTCCACACACCTCGGGACCAAGGGTAAATAAACCAAGCACTGGGGGCTACTCTTTAGTAACTGGCAAGAGCTTTCACCTTGAAATCACTGTCCAGCATTTCACAAAGGAGACATGATTTAAGGACCCAGTCTTGTGTTTGCCTTAGGGTTGACTCTCTACTACTGCAGTCTCAGTAGCAGCTGAGAAGGACCTTAGGGCTGGTTATGGTGGAATGTAGTTTGGCTTCCACACACTCAGACCTTGAATCCCAGCATGAAACACTCTGACCTATGTTTAATAGTGGGGAGGGGATACTTTTCTTCTATTAGAATCATTTGTTCTAATACTTGCGGGTGTGCATGCTTGAGAGTGGGAGTCTGTGCTTACCTGAGATGATGAACATGATCCCAGAGGTCAGAGTCATCTTGGCCTTGGCAGAATCATCCATGCTGCCAATCCGAATGCACTTCAGGGCGAAGATGGACACTAGAATACCGATGACGCCCAGAACAATGCCCACAATCATGAGGGCCCGTACTGCCTGCAACATGGCTGCAGAAGGGGAATGACACAAGAAGACAAATAACTACATTGATTAGGTTTCATGTTGACAAAACACAGCAAACCCAGTTAACCAGTGCTGAACCTTTGAGGACTAGCAAGACCACAAACTGTGAACTTCGACATTGTGCAAAAATGTGGAGTTGTGGGAAATACAAAAAGGGCATCATTTGTATTCCTTTGAGTGATGAAGGATGTGCACACAGATGTAGTGAGATAGTCCGTCTGTGGCACTGATCATGCCCATTGGGGGGTGGAGCCATGGGCGGAGTGACCTGTGGAAGGAGGTCGGAGGGGAGCCAGGAAAGGCTCTCTTTCTGGCGTGACTCGGACAGGAGAGGATCGGGTTGAATTTCCTGGTGTTCATCTGTCTAGGTTGTAAGTTATTTCTCCCTGAATAAACATCTATTCGGCCTATTTGTTTATCCTGATCTTTATTTACCGCAATACACAGATGTCCATAGAATGACCCATATGGATGGGTGAGGCTGAGGGAACTCTGGGTATTTATTCTTACTTCAAAACTTGATAATCTGGGCCTAGAAAGGGAATGCATTTGTCTAAAATGATCATCAAATTATTTATTGAGCTGATAGAAAGTTCAAGTAGACCACATATTGTCAGGCTTTTCTTTGCACAGGAATTGAAACCTTCATGCAGCAGATACAAACTGTAGGGAAAGCCAGGTGATGGTGGTACACACCTTTAATCCCAGCACTTGGGAGGCAGAGGCAGAGGCAGGGGTATCTCTGTGAGTTTGAGGCTGGCCTTGTCTACAGAGTGAGCTCCAGGACAGTCAGGGCTCACGAATAAATCCTGTCTCAAAAAACCTAACACTCCCCACCCCAAACAAAACAAAAGTAAAACACACACACACACACACACACACACACACACACACACACACACACAACCAAACTGCAGGGAAGCTCAGCACTGTCTGGTATGTAGAAATGGAGGTACTAAGATTATACCAGAACTGTTTTTATTTTTGTCCTTTTTTAAGAGCAACAGCTACTAAGGTCATGGGTGAACTGTATGTTTCTAATTACATAATGATCAATATGTTAATATTAAGCCTTTCAACAGTTTGCCAATAGTGTCTCCTTCCTAGGAATTGATTGTTTCTGTAGGTCCTACTGGATGCTGCTATGGACCTCACCTCCAGATACGTCCAACATAGTTTGTAGTTTATCATTAAAATTACAGCAACTCATCTTAATGGACGCTTACCACTGGGGATGGGATCTCAGTAGGGAACACTATGAAATGTTGAGAAACGTTCATCAAGCTTGTTAATTGCAAGCATAAAGAATTTTATAAGGAAGATATATAGTCCCTGGGGTCTTCCAATGGGCAAGTCTCCTAGTGGGGTCAGTCTGGTGGAGTTCAGCTACTCAAATATATACCATATGTACATATGTACCATATGTTTGGTATATAAAAAAACACCAGACACCAATTTGTTTATCCTTCTAGTATAGCCCCTTCTCTCCACCACATAAATCCTGATGGAGTGGCCATGTCTTATATCAGCACTTAAAAAAAAAAGTCTTTTAATTTTAAATACCATAGGTTGATATCCTGGCAAAATGAAGAACACTTGTTTGAGTGTCATAGAAATGCCAAATTGCTATTAAAACTTAGAATGTTTTTCTCAATTTAGGAAGCAAAACTGTTTAGATGAAAAGCAAACAGCTCGTAGGACAGACTGATCCATGAGTTATCTACCAACCCTGACCTTTCAGGCTAGCAAATTGTCTCTTCATCAAAATGACTTAATCAGCATGGGAATGTGACTGGAACCTGGAAAATGAGACCCTCATGTGAGATGTTTGTACTTTGGACACAAATCACTTTCTCTCTTAAGGGGTGTGATGCCTGGTTCAGGAACTCCAGGGTTCCATCAGATGGAGAAGCTGCCACATAATGACGAGGTGAAAGCCAAGAGGGAGCTCTGAGAAAGTTTGAGCTGTGGATTCCAGCTACTCGGGAGGGCTAAATACCTTCTTTTCTTGGGACCTAGAAGTTATCCTGGCATCATTAAAAAATAACATTTTTTTTTGAAGCTGATTGATGTTGAGACTCTTAGTTGAAATCAGGTGATTCTAAATTATGAAAGACATTTTCATCAGTGTTTTTCTTTAAAGTCTAATTGTTGATGGACAGTTTTCAAAGCATGGTCATGACATTGCTGAAGGTCCTTGCTGATGGGAGGTCCTCTCAAGTGAAGTTACAGCCACAGGCACCACATCCCATACTTCAGAGTAAGAGAATGGATAGAAAGATAATTTTTCTCTTGTTTGAAACCACTGGAATGGTGTCCTAGTTATATAAGCAGTAAATGATCATTATGAACATTTCCAAGCTTGTAGGAACTTCCCAAAGACTTGTTATTTCACTTCTTGGGGACAACTAACAGAAGCATCTTGGTAAGTAGTTTTTCTGGGAAGCATTTCCTTTTAGAGAAGACAAACAAAGCCCCACTGAGGGCTACACTACGGTTTAGACTCAAGGCACCAAGTCAGGAGTTAGTTAGAGATGTAGACTTACAGGCCCTATAACGTTCTAGTGATGAAGGGTGTCAGCTGAAACAGATGTCATTCTTAGCTTCAGTGAGACCAGTTGATAATGTCCAGGTTCAAATTCAAATTTGGGAATAGAAAAGAAAACAGCAGAAATGCTTCCTGGTACCTTCTTGCCACACCTCTTCACTGGCTGAGACGAAGATATCCCAGACTCTAGCTCAACACTCCAGACCCCCGTCTATCTACTTTGTTCTGATTCTCATCTCCCTCAGGACCCTGAGATTCTTTTGGAAAGGGAAACTGTGATGGAGGCAGGTGCTAGAAAGTGGGTGGACAAGCATTGTGCTATCTATAATGATCTTGGAGAATAAACGTGATCTGAGCTTCTCTTTCAGCCTGAAGACTCTACTATTTGGAATCCAAACTTCTCTATAGACAGGGAAATTACCTGGAACCATTGGCTTTATTAAGTGATAACACATGACTCATGTGTCGGACTCCCCACACCAAGGGTGTGACTGCAGCATTCTTTCCAGTGAATAATTAGCCCTATCAGCCAGAAGGGAGGGCAAGACTCGGGGCTGATAAAAACAAACAGCAAGGCTGGAACTCAGCCTTCCCTCCCTGTTGCAAAATATCCCATTCAGTAAGGTAGCTGTGGACTGAGGGATGAGGGGTACCAAGGTATGGGTCTCAACCCTAGTTGCCCCTGAGCAAGCTTGGGCACTTTTAGAGAAATGACAATGGTATGACATCATTCCGAGCCTTTCATTTAGTAAGATTTTGAGGGTAAAGTGTGAACATAGTCCTGAAGGGAGGCTCAGGGAAGAAGGAGTGCTCAGAGCTGCCAACACTGAGCTGGGAAGACAGTAGTTCCCTGGGAACCAAAGGCCCACTGGTGGGGACTTGGAGGAGCAGGATAAGAACCCACAATTCCAGGTAGCTGCGATCCAGACTGGAGGCAGGAAGAGCTGGAGTCTACATCGGGAAGTCTGACCTCAGACGGGATGCGTCAGAATAAAGCAGACCTGGTTCTCCAAAGAGCTCAAAGGACCAATAGGGAGGCCCTCGTGTCTCTGAAATTCTGCCACACTGTAATGCCAACTGAGTGTCCCTGGGCGAGTCATTTGACCTCAGATGAAGTTCCCTCCACTCTGGAGTGAAATACAGATCTCTCTTGCAGAGAGACATCATGTGGATCAGGCACCACTTGGTATCTGAATAAAAATCAAGTCAGGCTTGATACCTATCGATTTCCTGTTTCCCTAACTGTTTCCCACTTCCCTGGCAGCTCCACAATGGCTTTGGTTTGTACAAAGTGTACATAAAAATGTGATAAACTGCCAAGAGCGTGTGATTGTGATGAGCAAAAGAAGATGGCTGAGAAGGGGGAGACTGGACCTATTGGCACCAGGAGGGTTACAAGGGTTATAAGCACAGACAAAGGACCACCATGCCAGCATTGAACAGAGGAGCCAAATGAACTTTTTTTTTTTTTTTTTTTTTTTTTTTTGAGACAGGGTTTCTCTGTATTGCTTTGGAGCCTTCCGGGAACTAGCTCTTATGGACCAGGCTGGTCTCGAACTAACAGAGATCCACCTGCCTCTGCCTCCTGAGTGCTGGGATTAAAGGCATTCACCACCAATGCTCAGCTGAGCCAAAGGAACTTAATTCCTATTACATTATAGAGAGGCAGAGTCTTGAGACGGGGGTTCCTTCTTTAGGAATGATGGGAGATCTTATCCAAGGGGTCATGGATGCCTGGCTGTACCTTTTGGCTCTTCCTTCCCTTTCACGATGTGAGAACACAGCAAAACTTAACATCTCAAGAGAGGCAGAGCTGCCATCACTGTGACCTTGGACTTTGCAGCTTCCAGGGCTGTGAGAAATAAGCAGTGGGACCGTTGTTCATCAGTCCCAGTCTAAGGCACTTTTGTTAGAGCATTTTGTCAGTCTTTCCGGTGAGACCCACCCAGCTATATAACTCTGGTGATGTGCCTCCCCATCAAGAAATGATGCTGTACCCCAACAAGGCCAGCCCCTGGCATGCTGACTCTGCCATTGAGACCAAGACAATCACAGGGGCAGCTGAGCAAGCATTTTGGTCCTTTTGGGGGTCATTTTAATTTATTGCCATTATCATTATTAGACAGGGTTTCATTGTGCATACCTGACTGTCCTGAAACTCACTCTGTAGATCAGGCTGGTCTCGAACTCACAGATATCCACCTGCTTCTGCCTTCCAAGTGCTGGGATTAAAGGTGTGCACCACCACTGCTCTGTGTATCCTGGTTCTTAAGCCTCAGCTTTGCTGGTTGAGAAACCAGGGCAAGGGGCCTCATTTTAGCCTAAGTTATAGGTCCTCATGAGCTTTATAGACATGGGCTCACCTCCCTATGATATCTCCCTCACGTGTGATGACGTATAAACACTGGAATGTTGGTCCTTATAGTCAAAGACACC